TAATACTCTCCTTGTTTTGCTCAACCTTCGTATCTTCATCAGCATCCACTTTGGCAGTGTCTTTACCTTGACTCTCGTCTATGTCACCTTTTTCGACTAAATTAGCTTGAAATGTTCAAGCTGACGATGCAATTTATTCACTTCGTCTATATATCGTGGTCATTTCCTCCTTCTCGTCCACCACTTCTATGCTCTCAACTTTTAACTCTTTCATTTGATCCTTTTTACTTTTCTCAATCACATCCATTACACTTGTCAATTGCCGCTTTAATCTAATAACCTCCTCATCATGATCGTGTTTTAGCCTTTCGTTTAAACTTTCAAGTTTCAATTTTAAGGTCTGCCTGCTTTTCGAGTCACGTGTTGAGTCTCCTGGTCACTCTCTCGAACCCATTGCTCCATAGCTCGACACGCCTCTCGCTATTGCTCAAGCAACGCAGCATCTTCTTCCTGTCTCTCTTTTGCTCGTCCCTTGACTCTTTTCATGTCGTTTTCAATTTCTCTCGACCAAAAAATCGCATTTTTTATCTCCTCAATGTCATTTTCTGGACACCTCCAACACAACATGATTCAAGTCCACAAGCCGTTGCACCCGCTTCACAAGTTTCTCCTCTTTATTCTTATACGTACGATACCATCCTGCATCTTCCAGTGTTCCGAGAAGCCAAAACGTGTCGGCTGCTGCTCGAAAATCTGCATCCAAGCTTGTGTCACTGTCTCTGCGGCTTGTTGTAGCGCTGTCCTCGCTGTCACATTGCCTTTCACTTCCATATCTTCTGACTTTTTGATCAACATCGTTTGTAGTTTAGCTAAGCAGGACGTCAGCCTCGTGATCGTCAATAGCGTCGTCGCTCTCGCCATGTCGAAGTGCTAGAAGATGCCGTTGCTCAAAGATAAGCGCCAATGCTTGCCGTAAATCCAATACGGACAATATTACTTTACATGAAGGTTCTGACTGTCTTTAAGGGAGCTCGGGGATTTGCGTGTCAGCTGAACAAAACTATATATGGACTCAATCAAGCTGGAAGTGCTCGTAACAAGACGATCGACCACGTCTTCGAAAAGAACGATTTTAAAGGTTGTGGAGCGGATCAGTTTGTCTAGGTGAAGAAAGTCAAAGAAGGTTTTGTCTACGTATGTCTATATGCCGATGATATGATCATTGCAACCAAAACGAGCAGCGAGATTCTAGAGGTCAATGGGATGCTAAAAAGTATTCTCAAGATGAAGGATCTCGGTATGGCGAAGTTCATCTTGGGCATGGAGATCGACCACGACAGGTACGGTACATTAGCGTCGAGACTGAGCTAATTAGACAGAAAAACGCCAAGGACGTCGACAATCCGTGTACGTCTGGTCTCAAGCCAACAACGTCACAGTCACCAAGTACAGAAGCTGAACGTTCAGAGATGCGGTCAAGAATTGGATGTCATGCTATACATTACAACTTGCACTCGGCCGGACATAGCATATGTCGTTACACAACTGTCTCGATTCTCGAGATCCCGGGAAACCACATTGAACTGTTGCAGTTCGTGTACTACGCTACTTAAATTCGACACGTCATCACGGGAACATTTACGAAGGAGGGTCTGGAATGGTGAGTGTTGAAGCTTTTTTGGATGCAAACTGGAGTAGCAACACTGATGGCAGACTGACTGTCTCAGGTGTGTTGATCAATATTGAAAAGCTTCACTTCTGTTCAAGTCCAATAAAGAACCGTCGCACTAAGTTCTGCAGAAGCAGAATATATGGCGCTAAGCTTGTGCACACAAGAAGTACTTTGGACGCACGCTCAAGGACATGGGTCATGAACAAGTGG